TCAGATTATCCAAGAGTGGCTGTCTGCCTGGGTTACATTACAGCAATGCTGCTGTCCCGAGAGCTCAAAAGGAAAATCAGATATCAAATAACATCTGCAGAACATTCACAACAAAACCTGGTCTTGCATCTTCTCTTGAAGCCAATGAAAGCAATAGTTCTGTTTAGCTTATGAGAAAAAGAAATGTTTTCAGGTCAGCTTCCATAGCATTTGTCTCATATACCAAATAAAACCTTCAGCAAGCAGTATCTTCACAGTGTCACCTGACATGGGAAATACCATCCCAAGAGCTGTGTCGCAACATTTACAGCTCCAAAGCCCAAGAGCTGTTTCTTGGGATTATATTTATTTGGGGTTGGTTTGTTTGTTTGTTTCATTAGGTTTCTCTCTCAATGCAGTTTCCCCCAAATGTAATCTATCTGGCACACAAAGCTCAGGTTTGATATAATCAGGTAGGTAGATATATCTGTTTTGTTGTCAAATGCAGTTTGTTATCTTGGTTGTACTTTAGCACTAGGCAGATCCAGAAAAGGAGCCAAATCTTTCAACTCCCACAGCCTACCACCTCCATCAGAAAGCAGTTCAGTCATGCAGACATTGTGTTTTTCAGATTCTCTAATAAATATGTTACTCCAAGAATGATTCCTCCAGAAAGCTTATGCCAAAACTGTTCCATTCCTGTAGTTAGTCAAAATATACTAGTCATTTTTTTACTCCTAAAAATGTAACTTATAGCCTGAAATACATAAAGAAAACTGACATTCCCAGAAAGAGACAAGGAAGGAAACTAAAAGAAACCTCAGTAGCCTCCCCCCACAGAACGCAGTGGAACATCCTGTGAGCTCTGAGAAGATCTTATCCCTTCCTGTAACTGGAGACTGAGCACTGTCCCAGCAGTATCATGTGCCTTCACAGAGCCCTGCTGGACAAATGAGCTGTGTATTGCTATTACAAGTTTTTAACAGCCCTCTATTTTCCATGTCCAGGGTTGACATTTCAAATATTTTAATGCTGCAAACAAATTACAAGTAGAACAAGGGGGTCACACAACAGCAAAGACTTGAAGTAATATGGAAGTCAGGTATTTTCAAATTCTTGTAAGAAATTAAAACTTAAGATTATATCAAAGACTGGTGACGGCCTCAGATATACCACATTAAAACAGAAATATGTTATTTACTGAATATGTGGCATTATCATGTTCACAGGTGCCCTCTGCTGCTGAGAAGGAAAAAAATACATGAATTCTAGGTAAGTCATAAACCAAAAAACAGACATTTGCCAACACTCAGTAAAAGTTGATTGTAGACCCACAGCAAGAACTTCTAAAATCTCTGCCTTTACCAATACCATTCCTAAACAAACCCCCAGGAACTTTGTGCTATTTAACTTGCTTAAGCTTCCACACAGCACAGGCACTGCCTTTCCCCCCTCTGTCCAGGTACTGCTGTGACCCACAGCCACACAAGGGACAGGAGCAACCCAGGGAAAATTACAGCCAAGAGCAGCAGTGCAAAATAAGATGAAAAGCTGGATCACAAGCCAAGGAGTTTCATCAGTGCTGCCCATTCCTGTGCTGAAATAGAAGCCACAAACCCTTATGCCTCTGCTCTCCTTTAAGCAGTTCCAAAGGTTAATGAATTTATCCCAGGGTGCCACATACTGCACCATTTTTTTTGCAGCAAATTTAACTTAGGCAACCACCACAGCCCATCAGCTACCATGACTGAGTGCTACACATCATGCAGGAGTGGTAACCCCAGTGCATCTGCTCCCACGATCCAGGATTTCATCATCTGCTGGCCTCACAGTCATCCCAGAAGTGTTTTCCTGGCATCTCCCCCTCTCTCTACCTCCCCCTAAGAAAGAACAGAGCACTTCAAGGTAGTTCACTCATCTGGCAGCAACTGTTCCAATTTCTGATGAGGGGAAAAGAAGTCAGTGAACCATAGGAACTTAGCAACTGGTTGATATACAATAACCTCCTGATCTCAGTTCAGGAATTTCAAACAGCAGCTTTATTCCAACCAACCTGATTGAACACATAGCTAAGGATGGAATCCCACAGGGTAAATTTAAGTGCAAAGAAATACTTCTTTTTCTTTTGATTTAGTATGACAATCACTTAGACTGCACAAACAAGTACTTAAAATTCAGGACATAACCATAACTTCTTGAGCAATTTTAACTGGCACACAGATTTAAGCACATACAATGAAGCAGAACTCAAGCACGTAACTTAAAAGCTGCCCCAGCTGACAAGTCTTCACTAAATGCTCAGCACTTCCAGTGTTAAAGAGAATGAGTCAAAACTTCTTAATGGATGAAACTTGTTCTCATAGGCTTTGCTTATTTGAGGAAAATACACAAAGCACAGGCAGCCTACACAAAGCAAAAAGTCTTGTAGGTAAAGTATGACCCAGCACCATGTATTACCTGTTTTCCATTCTAATCTATTACTCAAGTCACCAACTGATGCTGTGATCTCACTCTGCATTCCAGACCCAGGTTTTATTTGGTTACTTGCTCTGTGCCAGACATTTGCAACTCCCATTACCAGTGATGACACTGCCACTGTTTTGAATGTCAACGTGGTAAGACAGTTATCAAAACCAGAGCCTAATTTAGATGCACAGGCAGTAGTATAGGAAGTAGAAGAGAAAAAGAAATATAGCTAAAAGACTTGGAGCTGAATTAAAGTGATATATCAGTGATTTGGATTGTACAACATGCCAGTTGCCTGGTCTGTAAAACAAAACAAGGTAATGCAGTAAGGTTAAGCTGCTTCACAAATACGTACTTGTATGGTTTTCATATCTTAGACATTTAGATCACCAAAAAAACAGTTAACTTGCATAATATTAATTAGGTGTTCAACAAATGTGCTTATGTCCCCTTTGATCTTGCTCTGCATCAGCAGCATGTCAGACCTTCCCAGCAGCCTTTCATGCTGTCCCAGATAGCTTACCAAAGCCAAGAATAAACAAACTTAGTGTTTAACCCAGCTCTATTGTTTCTCCAAATATACAATTTTGGCCATCACAGAAGATTTTTCTCCAATACAAAGATGTTTTTTTTTCTCCAATAAATAGATTTTGGAACTGTCTAAAATCATTGTTCTATCACTAGAGCTTAACATAGTTATGGTAACTGTTTTTAGCAACATTACTTCTTACAAAAGAAGTAGTTCTAGCAACTCTCCGTGCTTCTACTGGAACAACTGAGTTTCTTGAGCAAATGCTTTCATTATTATCATATATATATACACACATATATACACAATATATAAATAAAACTTTAAAATCATACATATACTTGAAGGCTTCAAAGCAAAAAGAATTTCACACCAAAAGACTCACAGAGCAACATAAAATGTTGTTATCAATACATGGTAAGTGTAATTTCTATCAGAGAAACTCCAGGTATGCTGCCACATACATTGCCAGAAATCCAACTGATTTTTATTTTTCATGCAACCACTTTGTCCTTTGGATTGCATTAACAGAATAAAGCCATGGCCTACAGGACAGGATGCAATCTTGATCCACAGTGTTCTTGTCAGAGATCAGGATCTCCCGTGAACAAGCTGTTTGGGCTGTATGTTTAGAGCACAGGCCTTCCAGAAACAGTGTCTTTGTTACCAAAACAGACAACTTAACTCCTGCTATACAGTTTTCTTTTCCCCTCCTGTGACACTTTTAAATACACACACAACACTGCTCCACAGGAATCTAAGGGTTTCTGGTACAAGTCTCTACAATTATCCATTTTAGCTTGACTTCATCTGCAAAGAGACCATTCTAGGAAATAATCATCCTGCTCTTTGCTAGGAAAGATTGCTTGAAGTGCTCCTTCATCCCTGCCTGTACAGAATCTGGGAATATTTGAACAGTGGATAATGAAGCACGTGATGCCTCTAAGATTTGCCAACAACATTCTGTTGGAACTGTCCAAATTTCAGTCAAATTCTGCCCTAGATGCCACCTACATTAATCTTAACACTCCAGACTAATACTCCTGCCCTGCTATAGACTCAATCATGCCACTGAAAATTAAACTTAACAGGAAAAAATATAGAGCTTCAGCTGGAAAACAGCTGTAACTTACTGAGTTAGGGGCAGGAAATGTGGCTGAGCAGAAATAAAGGAAGAAAGAGTACTGAAAAGGGGTACTTTTATGACTGGCACTACTTTTAGAAACTGGTCATCTCTCAGCCTCGTCACAGTCTCACTTTACATTCCTGCAGGGTCCAGCAATAAAAGCTCGATATTAACTGATGAACACATCAGTCTCACATCAACAGAAGATGGCTTAGAAGCTTGAAACATAAAAGTAGAAAAACTGATGATGAAGTTTCATTCAATGACTGTGTGACTGGATAAGAAGCAGCCCAGCAGAATGTCTAAACTACAACATATGTAACTTCAAGTGTTTCAAGACAATTGATCACTATCATCTATTTCCAAAGTTTCCAGAAGTTGTTTTTTTTCAAATAAAAAAAAAAACCCCAAAAAAAAAAAGGGTCCCCCCAAAACTTTTTTTAATAAAAACTAAATGTCTCCTAGAAATAAATAATTCAGCAAAAATTATATTAAAGTTAATGAGAATCACCATCAATGCTCTTCTCCCAGCTGTGCTTCTAAACCTGAAGATTAACCTTATTTTAGCACAGACAACTGTTTAATAGGAAGAAAATATCATCACTAACAAGGAAGTAATCAAAGCACCTCCTGAAAAAGTTGCTAAATGTGAAAAAAGCGCTGTCTAAAAGGCAAGCAATACAAGCAGGATACCAGAAGAATCAGATTACAAGTCACAAGCTCGTATCTGACTTGTTTGCTTTAATTCTAAAGAAAACAGACTTGCACAAGAGTTAAACCCAGTTATCTAAGTACAGAAATCAGAGGGCATAGATACTTCGCATATGTATTATCACTTTACAGAACAAAAATTAAAATGCACTAATGCCACTTACAAGGAGTGCACCATGTTTTACTTACTTTGATCAGCATAGTTTTTTGCTTTTAGTTCAAGTTGTCGAGTTTGTGACTCTAACGCTTCCACTCTGGTCTGTAAGTCCTTTTTCTCTTGTTCTTGAGAATCTTCAAACTCAATGAATTTCTAAACAACAGCAAAATAGTTAAGTTAGACCAAACAACTAATTACAGGCTTTACAGCAGGTAGGAAGCAACACAGCAGCCCTTCACAGCAGGAAAGTACAAGGTAGTTTCCAAAACAACTGAATAGATCCACATTTAAACACAAAAATATTTCAGTCCAAGTCCATCAGTCAAGCACCCAGTATAGGTTATATTGTGCAATAACTTTCAACCAAGTGCCAGCCACTCCAGAGAACCTGCTTGGGATTAACATAAATATGAATGATTTCATTATTGTCTAACTTAATGTACAACAACTACCAACAGTGCATGTGAACACAGGGAGTCTTGGTATCCTTAGTCTGACTGATCATCAGTGAAGCTATTTTCACCCACAAGCCACAAAGGTACAAACACAGTAAAAGGGAAACACCAACAGTAGTGCCAACCAAAATTATTTGATATCTTTTCCACTCCCACCCAATTCTGCTATAAATTCTTATTGTCTTCATCAAATCCTTAATAACAATCTACAATCTGTCAATTGGACAGAAAACTGTGCTGATCACCACCACCTTCTGTTTCCTTGGTTTACCACACTTGTGACTCCCCATAATCTGGAATTCACTGGTGAATGCATCAGTGTTTACATTCTCTAACATAAGAATTACCAACACATCATTATAGCAGCTTTGAAAGCATTTTTTTTTTTTTTTTGCTATTTATCTTACTCAAGAAGTCAAGAAATTCAACATGTATTGCTGGCACAAAGAATACTTCTAAAAGCCAAGGATGTTTTAGGTCATGCAGTACTCTATGCTCTGCATTGCAAGAGAAGACAAGGCCACCAACACAAGTGTTGCAGAAGGCTCACAGAACAGGGAGAAGAAGCAGACCAGAAACCTCTGCAGGAAAAAAATCCCAAACACCCACAACAATTAAAGGGGCAAAGACTGCTGAAGACCACATGAAAGAACGGAGACAATGAAGGCAGCAACTTGAAAACAGTAATTTGATTTGAGTATCTTTTCCTATGTATTGTTAGGAAAATTTAGTGGGAAAAATATTTCTAATGGTCATATAGTAACTCTTATTGAACTATTATTACATTGTAGCCATTGTGTTTTAGAGCTTTTACAAAAGCAGGAATTCATAACCTTATGAAAAGGGCTTCAGTTGAACAGGGTCATCAGAAGAAGTTCTGACTAAAAAGTACTTCAGATGTAGAAATGCATCAAAACCTATGAAGTGAAACAAGAGTTCCTTTCAGACAAGCTCTGCACAGCTATCACAGGACTGGGCATGGTGCTCATATGACTGCTTGAAACTAAACCACAACAATTGAGGAACAGCTGACATAGCCCAGGTAGCTCCACTTTGGGTGCTGCCATCAAAAAGTCCCTCTTCAAACACAGATGTGCAGAAATCTTTCTACCCCCTCCACACAAAGTTTGGAAATATTAATTAGTCAATGTAATTTGAAAACCTCAATGTTTAAGCTTGTTTCATGTCTTCTTTGTAGTAATTGATTCAAGACTTTTGCCCCTTTAATATTCAAGTCATGTCTGGCCTATTCTTGGCAGACTCCCTTTTCAAAAAGGGCTTCAAAGTAAATTTGGCACTGGGGCTGAAGTTACACTAAACATGGGAAGTTTGTTACACTAAACATGGGAAAACATGAAATAAGAATTATAGAACTGTAACATCTTTGTTTAGTTGTTTCTCTGATGATTTCCCAAAAATGTGTCATAGGTTGCTAAAGGCCAGGGACAATTATACTCATTAATAACAAACAGCCATTCAGAGCCATTAATGTCACTGTTACTCATGAAACTACAGATAGATATAATTTTGTATGTCCTCTCAAGCTCTTCAACTGCAAGTGGAAAAACTACTCTTGCCTAGAAAGGTTTTGTTACCTTCCACTAGTTTACCTTCATTTTATTAAAGTTCAAATCTACTTTACTATACTTTAAAGCATTTCTGTAATTACAGCTGAATATTTTTCCCTCCCCTGCTGTAAACTATACTTGATCAGATCATGGGATTCAGAACTTTGGACTTTGAATATTTTTATTTGGTTTCATTTCTCTGTCTGGTGATAGTATAATCACAGGTACAGCCCCAGCAGATTGATCATCACACCCTGACTCAGCCTGCGTAAGTATGGCAGAGAACTAGTGAGATAAATCACCACAGCAGCCAAAGACAGCCTGAGCACTCATATTAAAATACTTTTTTTTTTTCATTTACATTGACAATACACTCAAATACTACTTATCTCCTGTACTGTTTAATGTAAATCCAGCAGCATATGTAGGAATACGTTAGGTACTCAACAGTCATCCTCTCATCTCAACCCCAGCTACTGGTTATTCAAAAGACTGAGGCAGACAAAAATCTAGCTTTCCCATTTTAAGTGATGTCCTGTTTGGGCCACAAAGATGTATCTTACAACCCTTATGAGAAGTGTGAGAAGTGAGATTTTTGGTACTTCTTTTTTTAAAAACAAAACCGAAAGAAAACAAACGGGCCTTAAAAAAAACAAAACAAAATAAGGAAAAAGAAAAAAAAAAAAACCGGAAAAAACCCTAAAAAGGCAATCTTGTTTCCAGGTTCTGATGCTCAGCATTGGATGTCTGGATCCTAATTTTGATTAGGCTATGTTGAGGTGTAACACAGGATGTGATGCACAGCTCCTCCTGCACGTGCCTGCAACTGAAACCCAACCTGCAATACCTTCATCAGGCATGTTTGGCAACTCCCATTTAATCCATCCCATTTTCTCCAGGTAGGATCACATGTGTCATTTCAGATCTTTGTCCAACCTGTTCTTAAAGACCTCATATAAAAGGTGTGAAGAAGTCCCTCAGAAACTAAACTCAAAAATCTTTATGTGATCAATTTTAAACCTACTTGAAAGCTTGCAGAGATTTCTGGAATAAATAAGAACTCAGACTACACAACAGCCCAGCACATTTGGAACCCTCTGTCCTACACACAACCACAGAAGCACTCAGTAGCACATTATTAGCCAAATGAAATATCTCTTCCTATATTTATGTCATCTTATGTCTCTTCATATCTTGACTGTTTTTCCTGTCACAGGACCCAGATGCAATGCCAAGCAGATCTGATGTCAGGGCCTTGGCAATCTTTACTACTTGGCAATCTTTACTACTCTATGACACGTCCTTCAGCAATGTGTATTGCAACAATAACAGATTCTCAGCCAATGGCAAGTTCTTCTTGGAGCAGGAAGGAAAAAAAATCACCTAAAAAGCCAGTTCAGATGGACATGGAGGACAGAAAAACACATCAAAATGAAAACAACCTGATAGCCATAAAATAGAGTGAAAGTTTTCTGTAAAATGCATCTCGGTTCTGTTCTCTCAAATTAAAAATACTTAAACTCTTACTGCACAGTGTTTACTCAACATAAGATTCTAAAGAAAGTTACCTCTGGGAACAGCAGAAAAAGCAGACCTCAAGTTTATGCTACGACTTAAACCAGTTTTAGTAGTGGTAAATCCTTTTTCACAGTTGCCAAAGATTTCAAAAACAGCTTAATCCCACCAACAGCAGAAAAGCTAAAAGATATCCCAATTTGGCATAGCTAAATGGAGTAGATTTTTATCCTCTTCCCAAGTGCACACAAAACACATGCCAGCTACAAGTGCAGGTCTGAAACAGCACATTGCTGCAGAAGTAACTCTTATCAGGGTATACAATAGCAAAAGCACAAATGCTGGTTCCTCTTCCACTTCTTTGGGGCAGGCCTCACAGACTACCTCAGAGTCACCAAGTGGAGAACAGCAGAGCAGCTGGTTCCTCCATTCCTTCAGCGATATCAAAAAACCTACCAAATTAAAAGGCAGACAAGTAATTTTGCAGCAACTACAAAGATCAAAACTGTACCCAGAGGGTTGAGAAGTAGGCCCAGAACTTCTGTCAAGGTGATGGTAAAAAAAATTATTCCAGAAATCCACAGGCATCAACTTTTAAGATATTTTTAGTAACACTTTTTAAGCACAGGAAATAAAGAAAGCAAATTACAAAAATGGGGTAAGGAGACACCTACCCAAATAGTAAACTATTTAATGTGCATTAAGGTACTGCCACAAGTAAATTTCCTACAACAACAAGCAGAAAGTAGAAGAAGGTGTGTTAATTGCCCAGAGAAGCTGTGGTTGCTTCATCCCTGGATGTGCTTAAGGGTAGGCTGGACAGGGCTTGGAGCAGCCTGGTGTTGCAACAGTGTCCCTGCCCGTGACACAAACTTTAAGATCCCTTCCAACCCAAATCATTCATTGTGTGATTCTATGAACAGGTGACATTAAACATGGAGCTCAAAATTCTCAATTTTGCCACCACATGACACAGGCAAACCCCAAACAAAAGAAATGTGCTAAGCCAATAACTTTTTGTCCAATGAAATATTGTTAAATTTCTGTTCCCTCCTTTTATTTCAATCACATTGAAATCACATCAGGTTATCTCAGCATCAAAAAAATAATTCAACAACCATGCCTAACACATATGCCTCTCCTGAATACATCAGGCTGTACCAAACACTTCCACACCTGTACAGTGCAATGACCTCAGCACATCACAAAAATGACCTTTGTGCTTACCATGAAAATACAGTCTTTGGTCTAACTGCACTTTGGAAAGCATCAGCCAGGTGTCTTGCAGTATGAATGCTGGTTCTTCAACTGCACATAGCCTGTTCTCTCAAGTTAATTTATCATGACACAGAGAAATGAAGATGGCACTGAAGCACAAAACAAATACAGGCACATACAGTTCCTGAAAAGCTACAACAACAAACTTAACCCTATGATCTGTATCCTCACATAGGTACGGCTTCTGTCCTGCTGCCCAAGATCTGTTTCTGATCTTAGAAATGCTGCCTGCGCTTCAAGCCTGATGGATTTTCTCATTAATTAGTTCAGAAAGTATTTATCAATCCCTTCCTATTACTCTCAATGCAAACATATTTTCTAAAAGACCCTTTTACATTGTGCTAGAAATAGTGTGGCAACTCCAGTCCCCTAACTGGAGTCTATATGGCATCATAAAACCACCATGTGTTTGACAAGGAGGATGAATGACCTATCAGTCCAGGAGCTGGACCACAGTCCTTCACAACAAATGGAGTCCTGGAATAATCTGCAGACAACATTTTGCACTCACTTAGAAACAAACAAGTATTTAAACAGGGCTAATGTTTTTTAAATTAAGCTTTCACCGTTAATATTGTGTTCACCCTCAGTGCGGTTGTTCTTCTGATTTTTGGAAAATTTAGAAGGCAAACACAACCAGAGAGATTAGCACAGGACAAGGGGTCTGGAAATACACTTGTAAGATGGCTTGTTAATGTTAAACAGATAATGCTGCCAATCCAATTTCCTTCAGGAGTTTGGCAAGACAATGAGCAGGAGGAAGTTATCCTGCACAGCTGCTTCCCATTCTATTGCTTTATAATATCACATTAGATAATGCCTCACAAGCTTGCTTATGCTGAAGTGATTCTTGGTACCGACACTGAAATAAAAACATCTAACATCCAAAATCAGAGTCGACGTCACCGGAGAGTCCACACCACCTGTTGCTGCCTGCAGCTTTAAGCAGCAGCTCCGAGAGCTTCAGCCTAGACACTGCGTATTCCCATGGTTTTTGCGACGTGGTGTCACTATTTCCGCAGAAATGGACAACCCGCCTCCCTCCGCGGCCGTGACAGCGCAACCAGCGCCCGGTTCCGCGCTCGCTCCGCGGCCCCGGCGGCAGCGCAGCGGCTCCCGGGGATCCCTCCGGGACGAGCGGCTCAGGGGATGGCAAGCACACGGAGCCGCACGGAGCGGGAGGGATTCCTCCCTCCTCATCCTTCTGCGAGCCGCGTCTGGAGCCCAGCTCCAGCAGCCCGGGGCTGGCCGCCCGCTGCGCCCCGGGCAGGCCCGGGAGGTGCCGCCCGGCCCGGCGCCGCGCTCACCTCCTCGGCCTGTTTGCGCAGCGCCTTCTCCCGCTCGTACTGCGTGAGCAGCTGCTCGTTATCGTCCCGCAGCAGCTCCAGCTCCACGCTGGTCTCCTGGCTGTGCGCGCACACCGAGTCCAGGTTCTCCAACACGGCCACCACCAGCGGCATCAGCTCGGCCACCACCTCCTCGTCGTAGCGCCCGATGAGCCGCTCGAACTCGCGGTAGATGGAGCCCGCCAGCCCCGACACCCGCTCCGACATCATGGCGGGGCCGGGCCCGCCGGGATCCTCCTGGTACACCACGCCGTCCGCCAGCTCCATGGCGGCGGGGGTTGTGCGGGGCCTGGCGGGGCCCGGCTCGGAGCGGCGCCCGGCGGCGGAGCCTCGGCAGGGCCGGGCGGGAGCGGCGCGCGCCTCTGACCTCACCCGCCGCGCCGGGCGGGGCTGCCGGGACGGCGGGCGGGGCGGGCCGGGCGGGGCGGGCGCGGTGACGTCACGGGACGACAGGTGATGTCACGGGGCGGGCCCGCGTGAGGGGGCGGGCCCGCGTGAGGGGGCGGGCCCGCGTGAGGGGGCGGGCCCGCGTGAGGGGGCGGGCCCGCGTGAGGGGGC